CGCCCCCCCCCCAAGAAAAGCCCTCCTGCGACAGGCCACACGCCGCCGCTACCGCACACCCACCTTCCCATCCTCCCCGCCCGTGGCGAACGAGTTCTCCAGCCGCGGGTTGAACGAGCATGACGTCGGCGTCGCCGCCCCCGTCTGTGGAAACAGGTGCACACACCCGAGGCGGGCCGGGTGCCACAGCCGGAGGCTGCCGTCCCGGCCGGCCGACAGGAGGAAAGCGTTCAAGGACCAGGAGAGGTCTACCACGTCCCCGTTGTGGCCGCGCATGACGCGGGACGCTCGCCCGCCGATGACCAGCTCTCCCCTCCGGAGAGGGGGCACGGGATCTGACGACCATAACAACAAAATGAAACGGGTGGGGTTCATGAAGTCATCGAAGCTCATGTTTACGCGGGAGGGGGGGTATCAATCGTGCATAGCATGCATAGCTCTACCGCGACGGTTTTAGATCCCGGCTCCAGGAGACTCAAAAAGGAAGCGGCCGGCACGAGACAGACAGCCCTACGGCTACAAAAATATATATATATATATATAATGGCAGCGACTCTTGCCGTTGGGGTATGTCGCACAGTTGGACCAAAATATCCATGCACTTTTCGTGCAACAATCACACACCTACACTTGGGCGGAATTACCGACGGAAGACACGAGTAATCGAACCGGGACAGTAGACTCTCTACTTCTCCCCCCTATCCTTCTCCCTCTCCCTCTCTCTTGTTCGCCTGGCCTTGCCGAAAAAAAAAAAAAAGCCCCCCGAACCGCTACAACAGACTCCAGCACCAGCACATCACGCAGCCTGCTAAGGGCCAGGTCATGAGTTCGAGTCCCGACAGAGTGAGCTTTTCTCGCTAATAAAATCCTGGTCTCCGTTGGAAGCGACGCGCTGCAAAGCTTGTTGTTAGTAAACTTGATCGAATTCATACGTCGCGAGGGAAGGCATTGCTGTACCCTTCACGCGACAAATATATCTCAGGCAGGAACCACAGAAGGGAGTCCAACCCCCCCCTCCTATGTGACCCCGGTTGGGTCGTCTAGCTGGTAGAAGTGGAGGATAGGGGCCAGAGGGGCAGACGACAGAGTCCAATGATGGGAGACTAAAAAAACAACCTTTCTCTACTTCTCTCTACTTCTCCCCCCCCCTCTCTCTCGTCCACGTTGACAAAAAAAGTACCCGAACGGTCACAATAGACTCCAGCAATCACACGTACTTCTCTCTCTCTCTCGTTCACCTTGACGAAAAACAAACAGTACCCCAACGGGCACATAAGACTCCAGCAGTTCATCGCTACTACTTCACCCCCCTCTCCCTCACCTTGACAGTCAGAGGTGCTCCCGGCCGCCGAAGGAGCGACAGAGGCGATAGAAACCACCGAGGTCACCGAAGCAAGCGAAACGTCGCTGTCCGACCTCTCCAGGCGGCCCGTGAACCGCGCACCCGCCGATGGCGGCGGCGGAGGCGGCGGCGGCCTGCTGCTGAGCGGACCCAGATCGCCACCTCCGCCTCCGTCGCTGCTGTCAAGCTCTCGCGACCCGTCCTCTTCGACGCCGATGTCCCAGATCTGAAAGCAAAGGGAGGAGGGCGTTGAGACAGTCATGACTCCTGTACTTCCTTGTTCATTTATAATTTTCTCATACTTGCGATAACTTCAACATATTCCATCTCCTCCACACATGAAAAAAGGGTTTCTTATTAATAATAATTTTCCCATAACACAACACATCCATTTCCTCCACACATGATGATGAGAGTCTGGGATAGGATAGACTATCAAATGAAAAGGTCGCGGTCAGCGGAAGCGCGACCTCTGTACTCTTTTCTATTTTTATCGCAATAAGCAGACTGAACACGCGTATTTTGTTGCGCAAGTGTCTGCGGATGCTGAACACAACCCTCCCACGCAAGCGTCCTGGTTCCGTCTGTGAATTAGACCTGCCTCAAGCAGCACGCCGGCCCCACATTTTGACGTGTGTGCGCAAGACACATCGTGCTTCGAGATGGCCAGTCCGTCAGTTGTTTTTGCTATTTCAAGTCCCGAAAGAAGCGGCTGCTCTTCCATGCACAAGCGTCAAGGCATACACGCCGAGTGACGGAGAGATGGAACCAACACTCCCCACTGGACCGATTTTCAGAGCCTTGCCCCACAACCAACACCGTGCCAACATCAAAAAAGGGCTTTCCGCAGACGCACCGGGCTCTTTCCGCCCCCACGTGGAGCAATCGAGCTTTGAAAATCGGTGTAGGGGGGATGCGCCATCTCTCGGCCTCTTTACAGTACATGGCATTGCCAGAGTCTGTTGTCTTCATCAAAAGCCCACCTAGCCCGCCTAACTTTCTCCAATCGAGCGAGAGCCGCATCTCTCTCTCTCGACGTAACTTATCTAGCCCAGAGGAAAGAGCTGCCGATCACGGGGTGACTTCAACCGGTCACGAAGGGTGAACATTTACCATACCAGTATACGAATCCAAGACAGCGCTGAAGCAGTGCATCTGTACATCACCCACGTTATGTCACTCAGGCAATAGTCTATATCCCGCTCCACTCAAACAGTGGCGCACGCCATCTGTACCATAGCAGTTGTAAACTCGTTCCATTCCATTCAAGTAAACCTAGTGCATCATCCTCCACGTGCTTCCGCCGTTGCAGTTGTCATTCGTTTGCGCAGCAGCAAGCACGACCCCACGTGGAACTCCCCCCCTCTCATATACAAGTATAAACGCTTTCCGCCGCAGGTGGGGATGCATCATCTTAGCGGACATGGTGAAAGATAAAGATTACCGGAATCAACGTGCTGCTTGTCACCAGGGGTAGAACAGACATCATCACTATTTCTCGAGTAGCAGGACTCCGGACCAAACGTTTATCCGAAGTTTATAAAGATTTCATTCCGTTCCGCCGCAGGCCGACTACCTCATCATCTCGCTCTTACCTTTACCAGGCCATCAGCTCCGCCCGTGGCCAGGTACTGCCCCTTCCTGCTGAACTCTGCGCACCACACCGCGCCGACGTGGGCCTTGAAGTGCTGCAGCATCTTCATGCCCTTGATCGCCTCCATCGCCTCCACCGCCTCCGCCTCGGCCACCGCCCCGCTCTCCGGCGACAAGCCCCTACTCGTCGGGGACACGAAACCGCTGCCGCCGCCTCCCGGACGCCCGTTCGCGGCGGCGGCGAGCGCCTGGTAGCCCGGGGACAGCTGTAGCTCCCCGACGGGCCTGGTCTCGTGGTGCGACTCGTGCTGCGGGATGACGATCTGCTTCTGCGACGGAGGGATGATCCCGAGGTACAGCGGGTCTTCCTCTTCGCCGTCGTCGCCGTTCTTCGCCGCAACGGCGGCGGCGGCCGTCGCCGCCGCCGCTGCCGCCGCCAGCCCCCCGCCGGCGCCGGCGCCCCCGGAGGCGGGCGGGGCGACCGCCGAACAGATGCCGATCAGGAAGGAGTTCTCCATGAGGCCTCTCCCCTGCCGGAGGGCCTGGCTCCGCTTCGCCACCATCGCCGCGGCCATCTGCTGCCGAGTGAGCCCCTTCTCCCCGCTACCGGGAGAGACCTTCGGGCCCGCTGGCGCCGGCGGGGGCGGCGGGGACCCCCCTCTGTTGCCGTTCTCTCTCGAGTCTTCCCCGGTGCTGGCGCGGCGGGGAGCGGAGGGAGGGCTGCTGCCTCTCGCCGCCGCCGCCGCCGCCGCCCTGCCCGCTGCCGCACCGTACTCGGCATGCGACGAGTCGCTGTTTCTTCTCGCCAGGGGAGCGGCAGCTGCCGTAGCCAAAGACGCGGTGGGGTTGCTCGAGCCGGGGGGCGCGGTCCCCCCCGAAGCCGCTGCTCCCTCGCCGCCCTTGGCCCCCTTCGACCAACCAACCGCAGCCGCCGCCACAGTTGCTTCCGCCGCGCCCGCGTCCTGCCCCCTAGCGGCCTGCCCGGAAAACCCGGTCACGCTCCCGCCCCCGCCCCCGCCGGCGCCGGCGCCGTCGTCTTCCTTGTGGTCCCTCCCTTTCATGACCCGATGCCCCCGTATGTGAAACTTCTTCAAGGAAAAGTGCACTCCCCCTCCTTCTCTGCCGCTGCTGTTGCCACCGCCGAACTTGTGGGGCTTCTTGTTCACGCGGGAGTCCCCGCGGCGGTCCAGCCCGGTGCCGGCTAGGTCGAGCGGTGAGGTGGATGCCAGAGCGGCATTCTTCCGAAGGGATGGGCAAAAAATGGGGGGGGGGGAAGACACACACACATACACACGCGGCGCGTGCACATGCACAGGGAAGGGTGAGAAGCCGTGATGGAGGGGGCCGTGATAGAGAGGGCCGCTGGTTCGGAAGGCCCACGCCGATGGCTTGCATGGGAGCAAGCAGTCAACGGGGGGGGGGGGGGGGGGGGGGGGGG